GCCTCCTCACCTGCCAGCCCCCGGGGAGGCACATCCGCGCACCCCGCCCGCCGGACTTGGCCGCGCGCCCCTCCCTCTCCGCTGGGCCCGACCCGAGGGGGCCAGGTGGAGACTCGGGGCATCTCCAACCTGGAGATGTCCAACACCGTCTTTTTGGCACCTGGTATCGGGCTAGAAGGGGGTGCACGTCGGATAGAAGAACCCAGAATAGCTGTGACATCACTGAGAGCCAAAATGGAGAAAGGGAAAGTTTTCCCCTCGCGGCCCCTCCCTGCTCTCTCGGTTTTAAGTCAACATGCGGATCCCCACAATTACCTCGCCCGAGAGAGACGGGGCGGGTCCCCCTCTACCCGGACCCCAGGCAAGCCACTGCTGTAGGACTGACACAGCATCTGGGTTCCGGGATCTCCAAGGCTGCGAATCTCCTTGGGGCATTTGCATCAGAAGGGCCTGGCGTTGGCAGCGCAGCGCCGCAGGGAAAGAACGACAGGAGGCCGGTTCCCGCGGGCTCTGGAAGCCAGGCTGCTCAGGGCGGGCGCAGCGTTTCCTCCGGCTCAGATCCGCAGCCGCCCGGGAATGAACCCCAGGCGCGCTGCTTTGGGAACACCGCACTTGAACTCAGAAAACCAGTTCAAGGCAACACTCCATTCCCTTCCAGCGGGGTACCTTTAATCCCTAAGGTTCTTGACCTCTCTGATTTCAAGTTTATCCTCCTTCAGTCTGAGGGATAATAATCATACCTGCCTGAAGGGTAGTTATGAGAATTAGGTGAGGAAAACAAAAGAAAACAAAAAACCCACTGCTACACCCAGCTGACTGAACAGAACTTTTCAAGGGCAGTCAAGTCACGTCCAGGTCTTCCATTCACAATTTGCTGAGTCCTCTTCCATGACAGAAAAAGCATTTGTGGGGCACACAAATTTGGTCAAAAAAAGCTCCAACACTTCTCCAACTGAGGACTTGGAATAGAGATCATCTATCGGCTGGGTCATGGGCCTTGACTTATTACACTGATTATTTAAATATTACCTGGTGATGGAACATGAATAATAACTCAGACGTCCTTTATTTCAGAATTGGAGAATATTCTAAGTAGCAATGTGGACCGGGAACAGACTGAGCCTTACACCCAGTGTGCTACACGGAAGGACTACGATCCTTGAAAAATGATACTGGAACCTCGACCATCTCATTTGTCTGCCCTCCAAAAAGTATTTTTCTGAGTCCTCAACTTTCCAATCTAGGAATGCAGAGTGTGAGCCGAGAGACAGTGTGAAATCAGGATTACTGAAATCAATCTGCCACCTCTGTACCCCCAAGGAAATTTTGTTCCACACATCTTCATGTCTTTTCAATCTATTTAAGCAGTGAAGTTGGTAATCTTAGGATTCTTTAGGAAAAGGCGATTAATTCATACTTTTATATCCAGAGCTGTCTTAGATCTGGGCTTCAGGAAACTGATGTTCCAGGATGATTCTTACAATCCATTATTTCCAAAATTATGGGCCTGAGGACAAAAACAGTGAGACAGGAGCAAACAGCTAGGGTCAAACTGTTACGGTGCTTCTGAGTTTCCTCTGGAGAACTGAGACTTAAATCTGGGGACCTAACAGCAGAAACACCCGCCACTGAGCTGTCCAAGTCAGAACCTCAGAGTCATTCCTGACTTCTCTCTCACGTGGCCCTCACACAGCAGAAACCACAAATAATCACACTACCCTAGAAATAATATCTTGAATCTGATTACTTCAGTCCACTGACTCCATTATCTTCACTTAGAATCTAAACCACAAACAACCTGGATTATTGCAATAGTGGTCTAACTAAAGCTGTCTTGCTTGCAGTCTTGCCTCTTATTCCTTTCTTGCCAGTTTTGCAATTTTTCCACAAGGCCTTTCTGAAAGGCTGAATCTATCCATGCTTCTTCATCTGCACTCATTAATGACTTCCTGGTTATTCTCCAAGTAATATTCAAACTCCTTAATGTGGCCCAAAGGCCTTTCATGATCTGGCTTTATGTCTCTTCTAGATACCTGCTCCCTCACTATCCCCACCTACCTGCTACCCAGCGCCCCTGCCACTCCCCTTCCCCTTACAAATGGATACCTTCAAACTGCGGAACTGGCAGTTCTCAGGAGGTATCATGTTCTCTTTTTCCGTGGGACTGTTGCACACTTGAGTCTCTTTGTCTAGAGCATTTCTTGTACCCCACCCACCCATCCTCCTCAACTCCAAAAGATACACTGAGTTTCATTTTAGAAACAGCTTCTTCCAGGAAACCTCCCTGATCTCACAAGATCAGTTCTTACATACTTCCAGGACACCTGTATTTAATTCAACAGAGGAGAACTGTTACTATCTTGTATCAGAATTCCCTACTTATCTGTCTGTCTTTACCAGGGATGTAGGCAGTGCCTAGTACAGGTCCTGACACAGTAGGCATTCGATATATAACAATCAAATGAATGAATGCATGAATGAATGAATTCTGTAACCCCTAAGGGGCCATCAGTACAGGATAAAGAAGACACACACAACTTCTCTTTACAAAATAACTCAGATAAAGCTGCCTCCAATATGTCTTTGATGATGTGCTGTGTGCCTTACAAAATCCAACATGTGCTCAGTGAAAGCCTTTACTGCGAAGTGCAGGCAGTGAGGCCCGCTGTAGCCCCGTTGTCACCATAGCAACCCTGCTGAGGGAAAGGCTGATGATTTAGTGTTCAAACGCCTCTTAGTTCTGTACTTTTGGAACCCAAGCCTGTTTTTACACTGTTCTAAATGGCAAGTTTTACAAATGCTAATATCTATGTTGCCTTTAATTTCACTCAAATGTTTCTCATGTCAGTAAGAGAAATGTCTTAAAATGCTTGGATTCTGCCACCAAAGAAATATAATCTAATATAGCATATTATAGTCCTCTTTAATCTGCTTTAAAATATTCTCATGAATCATTTTCATTTCTACTTCAACACTTATTTATTGTCTGGTTTTTGCAATTTTGTGGCTTTTCCTTTAGAAATAAAAGTAATGCTTGGTTTTTTTTTTTTTTTTTTTTTTAGAAAATATCAACTACTTCAGAGGGCTGGAACCCTTCAAGATTATAAATAACATCCCTGCCCAGACCTAAGAAGAACAGGGGAGATAGGGTATTGTAGACTGGGAGAAAAGGGATGTACTTATGTAATTATGTCCCCAGATCTGGGATAAATTATTTGTTTCTTTGTTTATGTGAAATCTGTAGTTAAATGATTCCTACCTTCTGTTTGCACACAATTTGAGATTTTCAGAGCTCTTTCACATGTATAATCTTATTTGAGCCTCACAAAAATCCTGTGAGGCATATGTTGTCAATCCCTGAAACCAGATACGTCATAAAGAACAGGTTTTTAATTGATAGGAACCCCCCAGACTGCAAACTTCACAGAAAAGACAATACAAACACATAACCAAAGAGAAAACGCCTGAAACCATGCACCCAAGATACCTCACAGCCAGTCCCCCGCATCCGCTCTTCCTCGCGGCTCACCTGCGTGTGCTGGGGGCTTTTTCGGACTTCGGCAGGGCTGACAAAGCACCAGCTCCTAATCCTATCAGCTGGCGAGCCAAAGCTGCCGTCTGTCTCAGTGACCCGATGTTGGGTGATCTGCACAGCAACAAGGAGCAGCTGACGTGCTTTACAAACGTCATGAAGAAAAGAAACTGCATTCTGGGGCATCCTGGGATTTTTTTTTCTTTTTTTTTTATGGTGGGGTAGAGACCTATATTTTTCTTACTAGGGAGAGAGCTGCCCGTTTTCCCGTAAAGGCATGTGTGAGTGATCAACCCTCCTCTTAGTGTATGTGTGTTGTTGTTACTATATGGTTAAGGGATTTTGATGTTGTAAAACTGTAATGGGTAGAATTCTGCAAGATCTCTCCCTGAACAAGGGGCCCAGAGACTACCTGAGGCAGACAGGGGAGTGGGTGAGGCCAGGCTCGCTTGAACATTCACTGGGTTCAGACTGAGTCAATGATCTCTGCTCCACAGATGTGTTTTCAGAGACATCTCTCAGATGAAGGCAGGAATGAAGGGAAAGTCCAGGTAAGGTGGTACAGGTTGGGGATGGGAGCTTTGGAGGATGGTTAGGATACAGTCTTCTGCTTGCTGGACAGGGGAGCAGACATGAGGTAATCCTCCCCAAATGCTGTCCACTGTCTGTGACCTTTTGTCCACTTGTGAGAATAGGAGACGATATGAGCCAAAGACGGAAAGAAGTATGGTGCTTGTACTGAACAAACGGGGGATACATGGATGGACAAGTAGGTGTATAATTTTCAGGACAGTAGATTAGAATGACTGGAATTAAGATGCTCTGGAAAGTACAGTTGTAAAAAAGTAAGAGAAACTGAACCTTGACCTTAACGAAATGTTTCATACAATGGGACAAGACAAGATCTGTGGGTTTACAGATTTACAGAAAAGGCAAATAAAGTCATCTTTGTATCTAAGATAGGCATAGGATGGCCTAAATCCAGAGGCTGAATTCTGGGACTAAGAGAAAAGCACCTTCCTCTCCCAGGAGACCAAGAGACCAGAAAGTATGGCAAAGACAGGGCATTTGAAAGCCGCCTGAACCCGGTGGGGCAGCTCACTACCTAGAGGGAAGATGAGTGAAGGCTGAGATCCTCCTCCAACTTGGCAGTGGCGGAACAAGTACCTCAGGTTTCAGGTTCTGAGGGACTCATTCATCATCCACAGCAGTCTAGGCTTAGAAAAAAAATTTATAATCTGGGTTCCCAGAAAGCAGATCTGAGACTAGATTTGAGTTACATAAAGATAAAAGAATCTGTTCTCATATAATTTATCTCCATGACTTTGCATTTGTTTTCCCTTCAACTTTAAATATTCTTTTTTAATTTTAAAAAGTAATTCTGCCTTTATTTCTGATAGAAGACTGGGGGGAAGAGGAGGATTTTGAGATCATCTACTCGAAGGGCAAGAGCAATATTGCAAAGTGGAGCAGAGCGCCCCTAGAGGCCAACTACTATGATGGCAGCTAGAGGAGCCCAGGGGAAACGTGGAAGCGGGAGCCCGCTGATCTGCTGGCTGGGGCTGGAGGGGTTACCTCTGCTGTTGTGGAGCAGAGGAGACTTTTGATGGCTGCTTTATTTCCACCTCCTAGGCCATTCCTGGGACCCATTTTCCTTTATCACCCCATATCTTGTGACCTAGTGAGTACATTTAGCCCTTGCTATGTACTTGTTGATCCTCTCCAATCCACTGGAGAAAAAACTCTGTAAGAAGATGAGTTCAGAATTTGGGGATCTGGCCTACGTTGTTTATCTGCCCATGTGTCCTCTCTAGCTATTTCTAGAATGCTAGAAAACAAATCCTTTAAAAAGATAATTTTAATATTTTCTTTTTAAAAGTACTAAAACCACATTGTCAAAATTTTGGCAAATTAAAGAAAAATATTACTCATCATCTCATTGCCCTAACAGCCATTATCCATATTCCTTCTGTTAGTATTTCTGTGTATTTGCTCTCAGGCTTATCTACTGTGCATCAAAAAACAGTACTGTTAAAATGAGAATACGATTCTAAGTGACATACAGCATTTTAGGCCTGTGACGCCATCGCGTCTGGCTGTTTCTGGATGGCTGCGGTAGGCTAGCATGCATACCCAGCGTTCTCCCATGAAGTTACTCACCTCCTGTTTGTCTTCTGATTGGGTGCTAATCTGATATAAGAGGCTCTCAGCACATTAACAAACAGCTGAGGCTGCTGTTGGAAGCTCAGAGCACAAGGATGGCTTCCCAGGTCCCTGGTGCTGACTGTATGGGTCATGAGTTTCAGGAAGCACTAGTAGAGGAGAATCAGCAAATTCCATACTGGGGAAATAACCTCAATTCAGAGGTTGGTAGCAAAACACCTGAGTCCCTTTCTATTCAGAAGTCCAGCTACTGGCTTGCCATCATGTGATGCTAATTCAAGGGAGAGCAAGAAAGTGAAATGAGGTTCCCGAAGTCTGCAGAGCTCCAGAATGGAAAAATGCAGTTTAATAAAGGACATGGATCCTCAAGTTCTGCAGGCCTAGATCTGAGCCCGTCTTTACCTCTTTCTGACTGTGTCACCTTAGATAAGCTGTTGAGCCCCTCAAGGACTCAGCAGGTGATAAGTGCGTGCTAGTTAAATAAAGAAGGAAGATTGGAAAGAAGAAAGGAAAAAAGGGAGGAAAGAAGGAAAGAAGAGAGATCAGGTTGCACCAGTTAATGTCTCTGGGCAAATTAACATCTCTGATCCTCATTTTTCTCACCTATAAAATGGGCTTAATAACAGTAATTAGTTCATAATACTGTTGTAAGGATCAGACAAGAATGTATGCAAAGCCTACCATTTATGTCTGGCACGTAGCTGGAGCATAATAGGTATCCTCTCTCTCAGGTCCAAACCATTCCAGTCACCACTGCTGCCTCCTGCTTGCTTGTTTCACATTCTCCTCATCCTAAAGATTTTTATTTTAACTGCCATTAAAAGGAAATAATTAATTTTTCCCAGATGGCTTATGAGATACAAAGTGAGAAGCTTAATTTTTCCTTAGAAAAGAAGTTGACAGGACTTTTCCTCCCAAGGGCAGATGGAAAGGTTAGAGTAAACAGCATGATAAATGGCCAAATACCTTTCATTCATTCATTCATACATACATACATACATATACACATTCATACGTTCGTTCATCCATTAATGTTTATTTTGTTTCTATTCTGAGTCAGACACTGGCTTAGGCATTGGTTCTAGAGGATTCAAAGATCAACAGTGTTTCCCCAGGTATCTCATGGCCATAAGCTATTACAGCATGCATTGTGTTAACACCACATCAGATGAGTGACCTGAGGGCTTGCCAGTCTAATCTGGGTTCTGAGAGTTCCAGGGGTGAGTTTTGAGATAAATTTTGAGAGTTGAAAGGGTACTATTATAATTTTGGCTCCTTCAGAATTTTTTTCTCTTTATCTTTCCTCTCCTCTCCACCCTCCTCCCCTCCTCCACTTTGTCCTCCTTCCCCCTCCACCTTCTTTCCACTTTGAGAGACTTCTGCTGCCCTACATACTGGTCTCCAGTGGACTGCTGAGAGAGAAGTTTTGGATTTCCCCTTGAATCTTTACTGCCTCACTAACCTTCTGGAAGAAAGGGATTTTGTCTCAGGGTTTTAGTTACCTAGCACAGCACCACACACAGTACCTGGTGCTTCAATCAGTTATTTTACTAATTAGCAATTATTTAAAATTTCAACAACACCATGTTATACTGCCACCTATTGGTTCATTAGTAAATTATTCTTCTCACAGATAAAGTTTGGTTTGCAACAAACAAAAGTAGTGGCTTTACTCAAACTTTCAGAAAACTGTCAAAGTTTAAGGCTACACATAACTGAGTACCAATGAATGGAATCAATATTCAGTGAGTACAGGATAATGAGCATATGAAAGACAATAGTTCCAACCTCCTTTCTTTTGCTTTACCTGCTGAGCCAGTGTAAACAAGCAAGGTAAGTCATATTGTAAGTCATATGCAGTCATATAGTAACGCATATTCAGACAGTCTCTATCTCTTCTATTCCAAGGTCTATTTTTTAAATTAATAGGCTTTATTTTTTTAGCAATTTTAGGTTTATAGAAAATCTAAGCAGAAAGAGTTCCCATATACCCTTCACCAATATCTATTTTTTAATCTTCAGATATCATCCATCCCCTGTGCACCTGATTAATGAAGTATAATTATACTCTGCTTCTACAGAAGGTGCAGGTAAGTGCCCTCACCTCTTCCCCTGCCGTTCCCCATACCCTGACCTGTTTGGTTTGCCTCTGAAGTCCAGAACTTCTGGATATTTCTTGGGTGGTCTTACCAGCACTACCTCCCCTCTGGCCTGAAGCTGAGTGTGGAGGAACCACACAACCCCACAGATGAGTGACACTGCCAGCACTCGCCCTGTAACTGCAGAGGGGTCTCAGGGTTGCTTGCAATCATTTATGCTCCCTAGACAGTGTTCTCTCTTACTCTGTATACGGTCTGTTTGAACCCTTCTCTGCACTTCCAACCTACCAGCCTACCCACCTCATCTCACGTTTTGCAAATGCCCTTCTCTCCTGGTTGACTGACAAAATAGAAGCTGTTAAGGGAATTCTCTCGATCTCTGGCCTTCAAACCTATAAACTCACCTGCCTCCACCCCATCCTTTCCACATCTGGTCCTGTAGAGTGGAAGTTGTCCCTCTTCTGGACAACCTGGGCTTTGGATTCTACCCTTTTCCAACTCTTAAGGAAAGTTATCCCATCAGTTAGTCCTTCTAACTCTCCAGGTTTCTTTTTGCTTATCTGCAAAATGAGGAACCACAGTGAGCATGAGAGGAGTTAATACATGCGAAGAACTTGGAAGAACGCCTCATATATTTTAAGCATTCAGTGAGTGTTAGCTGTTATTATTAGCTATTATTCTTTTTTTGATCACTTTAACCTACTTTTCTATCAGACACTTCACATCAGCATTTAAATATGCTGAAACCTTTCCCACCCAAGGAAATAAATAATTCCCTGAACTCTTGTATTTTTCTAGTAATACCCAGTGGCTTCTCCCCACTCATCATACAACTTTTCTTAGAAAAACAATAAAAACTATATTCCCATGTCTCACACCCTCCCTGCTCCACTCAAGTACCTGTACCCACCCTGCTACCAAACAGCTCTTGCGCAAAGTCACAAATTACTACCATGCGGTTAAATCTACTGGCTAGTTTTTATCTGAATCTTGATCTCTCATCAGTCTTTGGCATAAACATTGCCACATTTTTGAAAACCACTTTCCTTCTGTA